GCTACTGATTATCAGCCAGAACACACATGGCAACAAGATATTCATTCAGTGAGCCAATGGTTTAGTTAATACCACTAAAATCAACTAACAGGGAGTAATGAACTACTGAAGGCTCTCTCTGATTCTTTTAATCACAAGGAGTTTATTAACTTTGGTTTCATACTAGAAATGTGAATTAGACTATATAGATAAGTGTGTCTCAAACAGCACTGATGCTCCAGTCACCTAAAGACAGTTAACTATTGCTGATAGCTTATTATGAATAAGTAATATAATGAATGAAACGGATGGAACATAACATTTAACTAGCTAACTTGCTTTTCAAATTTCTACAGAAAACTGGCCAAAAACAAGAAGCAGACTTCTCTTTTATAAATTTTTAGATAAAAAAAGTGGGAGAAAGGGATTCACTTCAGGTCTCCTATAAATGGATAAGGGTAAAAACATGAAATATAAATCTCAGTCATACAGTTTTATTTTTATCCAGATGTTTACACAAATTCTGATATAAATACCAAAATAATAAAATTATCCCATTACATCTAATAAACTGATATTACATTGAGGCTCATAGTTAACAAAGTTAAAAGATTCTAAATAACGCCTTTTACTTGAAGGACTTTTATTTCTGACATAAAAATATTATTTAAACCCTGAAAATTTCAAAAATAAAGTTACTCCTTTACAAGTTTGGTGATAAAACTCATTCTAAACCGAGATCAACTTTCCATCTTTCCTCAAAACAAATTCTTAGATTTCAACCAAACTGATTTCATTTGTCAGTAGACAATGAACAGTGCTGTTATACTTGCTATATAGATGTTAAAAAACAGATGGGTCAGATTTTTTAAAATGAAAAAGTGATTTTTGAAAGAAGAAAAATACTCAGGGGCTGAGATTAGGAAAAAATTACTTTTATCTACTCAGTCACACATATATAACCTACACTGCCAGAAGGATTTGGGAGTGTTGACCTAGAATTCACATCACTTTCACAACTCCAAGATTACATGTTAACAAAACTAAGTGGTGTCAATTACCTGCTACTCTAATACAAAATATTTAATTTACAAGTCCCTACAAGAATTGAAAACGTCCAAAGAAAACATGATTAGGTTAAAATTTAGCACATCTCGGATGAATTACGGAGGTATGTTTTCCTGTAAGAGAATAACATTTTAAATTGGTGATACTCAAACCTTAACAGAAGCAAAGCACTGAGGAGAATCAGTATTCTTAAAGTATGCTGGTTATATTGCAACTATTCCATCCATTAATGTCAACCAGTAGGAGACATCTTTAATTATCCTAGCATCATTCTGACAACTGGTCAAAAGAATACAAGAACTTTTCAATATATGCACAGTGTATAAAAGAATATTTTCACTGGAAGCACCAAACCATTAATAGCACACCAGATTAAGTGGTGTGTTCTTAATACTGAGTCATCTGTATCTTTATAAGAGTAGCTACTAAGGGAGAATGTAAATAGTTTTATTACTGAAAGTCTTTTTAAAAGATATTGAAAGCTTTTTACATTCTTAAATTAAGGACAAACAGTTATATTCTCCTTGATTGGGATTTTCATTACTTAAAGTTACTTAGTAACATGCCGGTTCAGAATTCAGCATAACATTAAAAGGATCGTTCTATTACTCTCACTACTTAGGTGAAACTCAATAGATTTTCAAATGTTTAAAATATGGAAAATGCATTCAGGCAAATGTTATCATATTTTTCTATTCAGGCTGATAGTTCTCAGTTGCTATTTCAGAGATATGTGCCATTTCAACACAAATCAGTTTGGCCCACAGCCCACTAAATACTGGCAACTAAAAAGTTATCAGCATTTGCAAATTGAACATCCACTTCCCAGAAGTTAATACCTGGGAAGATAGATTCTAACAGTAAAACTATCTGACAGCAAATAAGTTTAATATTTTTTTCTTCTGTGAACCTAGATCAATGGATGCTTACGGTATCAATGGAGTTAGTAATGAAACCCAATGTAGAAGATAAACTCCAATGACTACTAAATGTTACAATGTAAGATATTTAAACCCTATGATTAAGATGTAATACTTAGTTCTAATCTTATCTAAACATAATTTTAAATTGAAGTCCATTAATATAAGCTAAAATATATTTACTTCATCTTACACAGTATCATGAGTAGCTTAATGTGTCCACTGAACTTTACTTCTAAAAGAAAAAATCTTAAAATCTATTTAAGTTGCAATTAATGTTTTCCATTTTTTAAAAAGATTGACGTCTTCTGATTATATTATTAGTTTAGCAAAATCTTAAAAGATAGTATTTATGTAAAACGAAAAGGCATGGCTAGATTATCTTACAAGATAAAAAGGAAATGTAAAACAGTGAATTTATAAAATATAGTAAACCTGTGTAAATTTTCTAAAATAATTCTTTTGTAATATAAACTGCTTCTATTTATTTCTAAATTATTTTCCATTTGTCTCCTTTTAAACTACATCCAAGCTGACTTTCCTCAATGCATAAAAAAGTACCACCTCACCCTAAATTTCAGAGATAAATCTGCTTCCCAGTACCTACTATTAAAATATTACTTTTTAAAAGTTTCAGTGTAATAACACAGGAAGATACATGAATCCATAAACCCCTAAGAATACTAAAGTTAGGGCTAAATCTCTTGGGACGGGGAGGGACATCATTTTTTTCATTTGAACATTATCAAACTAATAATGATCAAATAGAAAGGTATTTCCACAAATCTCATATTAGAATACTGACTTAAGAATACTCTTGGTATTTTAAAATTCTACAGATTAACTTTGGGCAGGTTCAAAGCTGCCATGACATCCTGAGCAGACAAGTTTTCTGCAGGCAGGGCATATCTATTAAAAAACATGACCTGTGACAAAAATCAATGTACTAATCTCAAACCAAACAACAGTATCAAAAGCATAAAACAGATAACCTAAGATAAAATGTCCTCAAACTAACTCAGACTAGCTTGACAGGTTAAGAAGACAGGGTAGAGTGGGGTGTTGCTGATTCTTTCTGTTTTAACCCAGGATGACTGCAACACCCAAGTATCCAAATAAATTAATACCATGAGAAAAAGATCACACTGTGAAGTTTAGAGTGGGAAAGAAAAGACGAACAAGAGCCAAAGGTCCCAAATTCAACTAATTTCACCCTTCTTTTACTTAATAAGGCGCTAAAATTTAGAAATATAAATTTCTCCATTCCCTATATACGCTGTCTAATAAAGGCCAAAGGGGAATAAAACCAACCAACATAATGAGCCTTGCTTTTAACACCATCACGACTGGAAAGCTTGCTCTATTTGTCTTGTCAGCTTTAATAAAAGGCATTTCCTCTGGCAGGATGGCTTCTCTTTCTTTTTCTAATAGTGGTAAGTGGCATGTCAAAGAAGAAATAGCTTCCCATCCCACCACCCACCTTCACGAGACTTTTTTTAAACCAAACTTTCAGGGATGTCTCCACTTCTGCCAGGCGATGCAATTAGGACTTGGGCTATCTGGATGTGACTATCTTTCCTTGGGCAGCAGGGCGGGGGTGGGGTGGGACTCTTTCTCCTTTCGGCAACCGGTGGACCGCTTGTGGGGAAATCTGCCCATCTTCACCTGAGCTGACACCACCTCAAGTAGGGAATCCCTCACAAGCCTGCAAAACTAAAGAAGGCGAGAGAAGCGCGGAGGCGAGAGGGCCACGGGTAGGTAGGAAGCCCTGGAAGCGCCCTCCCGACCCTCTTCCCAGGCGCGCTGGGCGCGCAGCAACCTCAAACTCTCTTCTCGGCCTCCCGCCTCTCTCTTCCCAACTTCCACTCCAGCCCAGGGGAAAATCTGAGATTTGAGGCATAATCGATGCTATCTCCCTCCTGGGCGGGCACCAAGACCAGTCCACAGCTGGAAGGTGGCCTCGGTCCAGAGAGGCAGCGCAATTTGGGGCCAAAGGAGCCGACCGCTGTCCACAGGATCGAGAGAAAGTAGAGCTCGGAGCTGTTCGGGATTGGGAGGTGTCTGTCCCCACTCAGGACAACCTCCACTCCAACCCCACTTTCAGGGCCCGTGAACAGGGGACATCTGTGGGTGGCCAGGGTCCAGCAGGCGGGCTAGGTGGCCCCGGATGCCCACCACCAGCCTTCCGCGTACACGGCGGGCTTTGGGAACCGCCGCAAAACGGTTCCAGGTAACCGCGCGTGTTCCTCCGGCTGCAAACCGCCAGACCATGGACCAAGGGCTCCCACCTCCCGGCTCGGCCAAATCCAGCAGCTTGCTCCGCACACATGACGTAACCCAACATTAGATCAAACTTTCTGGCACCCTGAGCCCACCCGGGAGTAGAGGAGGTGGGAGAATCTTCTCCATTGCCAAGCACGCCGGGTCCAGACTGACTCAAGGGCCGGATGATTTCCTCGCAGTTAAAGAGGAAAATAATAACCTAAAGCTTCCGCTTCCCAGCCCCCCTCACTTCCCCCCAGCCCGTGCGCTCTCTGAGCGCACCGAGAAAAGGGATGGAAAAAAAAATTAAAAAAAAAAAAAAACAACTTTGAGGGTGTTTGGCGGGTTCTCGTTGCAGTCCCTGCGCACTCACGCTGCAAGCAAGAGCTCCTGGCGGTGCGCACCCGGGGCTCCTCGTGCCCAAGCCCTGCGCGGGTATCGGGATGCTGGCCAGCCTGCCCCAGCCGGGGAGCAGTGAAGTCTCGACTCCCCGGCTCCCGCCTTTTCCGAGTTTCCTCGATCTCTGCAGAGGCAGGCGGTCTAGGCCGACTTGGGGACTCACCGGGCGCCCAGGCTCTCTGTGGTGGCTTAACAAAGAGGGTCGCGATGGGAGCGCTTCCCGCGGGCGCCTCGAAAGCCATCACCGCCTGGGCGACGCAGGCTCCGAGGGTGCGCGCTGCCTGCGGCGGGTGAGCACTAGTCCGCGCTGCCGTTCCTTCCGCAGGGCCCGGGGCCCGGGTAGCCCCGGCTCTTCGCCCCCTATTGCCTTACCTGGGGTTGCTGCTGTTCCAGTAGACGGCGTAGCGGTCGGCGACGGCCTTGGAACCCGGGTCCTGGCTGAACACACACATCCAGAGCACCAGAAACATCAGCGTCAACATCTCCACGTGCAACATCACGCCTGGCCAGCGGCGGAGCCCGGGACGCGCCACTCCGGGGAGAGAGCAGGGACCCAGAGGGAGGGAAGGGGAGAGCGAGAGAGCGGGAGCCAAATAAATATGAATAAATAAAAATGAAGAGGGGCGAGAAAAGAAAGAGGCACACACCAAGCTGGGGAAGGGAAGGAGAGCGAGAAGAAAAGGCAGTGGAGTGGAGGGACTAAAGACAAACTCGCACCCCCCACTGGAGGGTTCAGAAGGAAAAAAGAAATCACAAGATGGAGAGAAGCGTGCGTGTGTGTGGTGGTGGTGGCGGCGGCGAGGGCGGGGGAAGGGGTGCAAGGCTGTGTCTCGGGCGGCGGCAGCAGGCGGGTCACCCCGGGAGAAGGAGGTGCGAGCCGGGCCGGGTGGCAGCAGCGCGAGTCAGGGCAGGCGGCGGCGCACGCTGCACAGTCACCGGGAGTTGCGCGCCGTGGCCGCGGGGAGACATACACTGGCCCGCCGGGCCCGGCTCAGCGTCGGCGCCGCGGGCTGCACACGGCTCCGCCGCCGCCCAGGGCCCTCGCGCTGCGCCCCGCTTCGCTCCAAGTTACTTTGGCGGCCGATGGGAAACTGCAGGAGGACGGCTCCGTGTGGATGGGGGGCTTCGCGCCTGTGGCCCCGAGAGTCTGAGAACCCTTTTCCTCCGCCTCCTCTGTGCCTTAACTGGGCAATCCCTGGAAATCTCGGAGGAGTCGTAGGTGCTGCGGGTTCGGGGTGGTGCGCCGAGAAGGGTGGAGAACCAGAGCCACAAACCCAGCCCCGCCGGCGTCCTGGAACTGGTTAAGCGGCAACTAAGCTGGCGAGGAGCGGTCTTGCCTCACAAACCTCAAAGAAAAGTTTGGCTCTTCGAGTCCCCCGGCAGGTCTCTCGGCTGAGTCGGGCTGCGGCGGCAGCGGCGGCGGCGGGAGAGAACACCGCAGGCGCTGGCGGAGCCTCGGGGATTTCTCGCGCGTGCTTTTCTCGGCCGGATGTGGGTACACCAGAGTTTATTAAGATCAGACGTTACGGAGTAGCAAGCCAGGTGGAGCTGGGATGCCCAAACCTGCAGGACGACGCCAACCCAACACCTCGGCTGGAGAGCGGGATGGGAAACAATCACTTTCAAATGAATCCCTCCAACTCCTGATGGGCTGATGTCAGTCTCCGATCGCCTTCCAGGAGCAAGACTGAGCCCCTAGACGCGGTGCCAAGAGTTCCGGGTGAGCTCTCAGAAGTGTCGCTGGGACTCCAACGGGTCCGGCCCCAAGCCCAGCAACTTGTAGAGACGCATCAATCAGTGTGAAATGGAGAGAGAAAAAAAGAGCGCACGAGCGAGTGGCACCTCCCCGATGACTACATCAGAAAACCTTTCCGATCCTCCTGCAGCTGCTCCCTTTTCTTCCTTGGGCACAGCAGCAACAAGAGGTGAAAACCACCAAACGAATCCTAAAACCCCTACCAGGCGGGAAAATAAACTTGAGTGTAGCAGCAGCACGAGCAGCCCGGGAGGGATTGAAACGACTGACGAGAAGTGGAAAGGGGTAAAAGTCAGTTTTGCAAAAGAAAAAAAAAAGAGAAAAAAAATGCTTTATGGGAAAAATCTCCTCGGGCACGCCCCCTCGTTAATGACCTGCGTGTAAAGCCGACAGCAGCAGCGACCCAGCAGCAGCTGCAGCCGCACGAGAGCGCGAGGCCGCGCGCGTGAACGTGGGCGGCGGGGGGGGAGGAGCGGGCGTGTAACGCAGCTCTGGATCGCGCAGGGGGAGGTGCCGCCAGCCCGAGCCCAGTGCTGCTGCGGCCTCGGCCCGGGTCATGTGGGTTGCTCCCGTACCCCGCCCCCCCCCCAGCAGTTTACTTGGGAAGCGGGGGTGGGGGGAGGCGTTGCTTGCAGTAGCCAGTTAGGGAACAGCCTGCTGTTTGCTTACAGATCGAGATTTTTTCCTCTTTCTTTACTCCAACCGGATTGGTTTGCTCCACGAGAAAGAGGCGTTTTCCTAATCTCCTCCCTTCCTCACGCCTCCTACCCCCTCCTCAGCACCACCTTCCAGAAACCTGACTAATTGAATTACTGGGAGTGCCGAGGCGCCCTCTCCTCCGCCCGAAACCAGCAGCAGAGCGTAACCCTTTGGATGCTGAATTCTGAGTGAACTGAGGAATGATATGACATCTTTTTTGCCTGAGAGCGAGGTTTTTCAATAGCTAAGGAACCAGTTCCCACCACATAGCGGGAAAGCCGAGATCTGTCTCTTGGCCCCCTCAGGTGACATGAAGTCTCAGCAGACTTGCTGGCAAAAAGCCTCAGTGAATACGTGTTCTTGTAAATCTCTGTCCTGTTCTTCACAACGCACATATGCCTGGCGCTGGGTCATCTAGAAACCTGGGAATCATTCCTG